GGGTGGCCCTAAGCCCTAAACCCAAAGCCCTAAACCCGAAACCCTGAGCCCTCAACCCGAAACCCTAAACCCTAAGCCCTAAACCCTAAGCCCTAAGCCCTTTTTTCGAACCCAGGCTCTGATACCCTAAGCCCGAAGCCCGAAAGCCCCTGCTAGTTGGATCTTCATCCGAGAGGCGCCTTGGTGCCGACAGGTCCTGCTTCTCGGAATACCAAGCTGGGTAGCTATTGAAACTCACGGCTGTGGCCTCGGAGTTGGGGTTTAGGGTTTAGGGTTTAGGGTTTGGGGCTTTTTTCGCCTCCTACATAGCAAGCACGAGCCCGAATTGCAGGGTAACGCTAGGGTTTAGGGTTTGGGGAGTTGTGGGGTTGTATGGAGGTTACCGAGATCTAAGGTACAATCTACCAGTGCGGAGGTATCCTATCAGTTCCCTGGGGTTCCATATTACGGGCCTTGTCCCCTCAAGCTCTCATATGTCTTTGTTGCAGGCGGTGGTGGTTTAGTATCTAACCCTGAACCCTAAGCCCTCTCTGAAGCCCGAAACCCTTAACCGGCACCTTTTTCATGACTCCCAGTTGGAAACCATAAGAAGCAGCCCTAGCAGGAGTAGGCTTTTACTCATAGGGTGGGTTTAGAGCTCTAATGCTTTAGGGATGAGGGCTTCAAGGCTTCAGGGGCTTTAGGATCACCCTTTTTACACAGGCTTGATTGGAGCTCGCCCGGCCAATGTCCCTCGTAGCACACCGCGCTCGTGGCGAGATGCCCATGATCCTAAACCCTAAACCCCCCCCTTTACCCTAAACCCTGAACCCTTTTGAAAAACGAACACCGACATGACACCGGAAGCTTCCGAATGGGCGCTTGAAACGTGGCGCATGCTCCAGGCACTTGTCGTCCTCCTTCTTGTTGGAGGCCCATGTGCGGAAGCGGGTGGGGTCCTGCTCTTGCAGGATTCCAATGAGGCGCTAGGGTCTAGGGCTACAGGCTCAAGGTTGCGGGGATCAGTGTAGACCACGAACCGAAGTTGATGCCGTTTTCTGGTTGCTGTTTCCGCGATGTGCATTGGCAGGGGATGTGCTGGGTCAAGGACGTATGACGATGAAACCCTAAACTCCCTAACAACTGCCCTAGCTCCACAAGCCTCTTGCCACCTCCCCTCGAAAACTCCTAGCTTCTATAAACTGTTTTTGTGAAAGTCACGGTCTCCGGCACCCTAAAACTTAAAAAAGTAGACAACAAGAAGCTGAAACAGGTAGCGGAATAACTAGGCATAAGCCCAAAACCCCAAAAACTCGAAAAGAGCGAGCCCTGGCCGTCCGCTTCCGCTGCGCGCAAGGAGCACTCGAGATAAGCCTGCGTGCATCTGGGTTTTCAGGGGGTTTACCCATAGGCCCCAAAGTAGTTCTTTTTTATGGTTTGTATCTAGGATCCTATTCGGTAATCCCAAAAAGGAACTACTCTGGGGCCTATGGGTGGGCCGGGATCCTATTTTGTATAATCCCAAAAAGGAACTACTATGGGGCCTAGGGGTCGGCCGGTTTAGGACTCCTCGGGTTTCGGCGCTTTCCCCCCAACACTCCAGGCGAGGCATGTGGCTCGACGTCGAGGAGTGGAAGTGAAGACGGATGAGGTGATTAGGCCGAATGCGCAAGACAATTAATGTAGGGGCCGTAATAATTAGAATAGAGTTTTGGGGCGCATTATACTATAACTATAGTAAGGAACCCCCAAAATGGTGTATGTAATTATTAAAGCCCCTATATTAGGTGATTAGGCCGAACACGCAAGACAACTTGGTCTCCAAGCTTGCTAATTAGGGCGGCCTTATCCTCTCCACTGAGCTCCCACGACACACAGAATCTAGGTTCGCGAACTCAGCGACGACGCACGATAGGTGCCTTAATAATTAGAATACGGGATCTATGATACTGAGATTATGCAAAGGAACCCCCAAAATACTATTGGTAATTATGTAGACCCCTATATTACGGTCAAGAGATCACAGCTGTCGAAGGGGCAGGGCAAAAGGGCCGGGAACGACCCAAGGAATACTGCGCTATGTGATCTGTAGGGAATCATCACGGTTCCTGAGCAGTGAGACGCTAGAGTACATCGACGACTCTTACGGCTGACCCCCTCACCCTGGTAAAGTCCTGTCAACCGTAAAAACATGTACACCACAGCACCATAGGGTTTAGGGATTGAAGATTCACTGGGTTTTTCAGCTTTACAAGGTGTAGGGTTTCAATGCTTTTATCTAGGGCTTAAGGGTTCTTAGGCTTTGACCGTATCTAAGACTGTTTGAGAGCTTAGGCTTCATAGGGTCTATAGGATTCAGGGCTTCTAGGTTGCAGGGTTTGTGGGCAAAACCATCATCATCATCATCCTCATCATCATCATGATGCTCGTGGTGTCCGTGCAAGAGGTGGAGGTGTAACGAAGCTGCCGGCAGCCGTGGCAGTGTCTGTGGTGGCGGCGACGTGTGTTGTGGCAATCAAGGCTCACGAATGACGACAGACAGCGACCATGCGCACTAACGGCGCCTGGCAAGCAGCCGGCTCGTTCGAGGGTCCTGCTGCAGCTGCAGGAGTAGCCCGATTCTTAAACCCCGACATGCCGTCAACCCTGGAAGCACTAGGGCACGTGCTGCAATGCAATAAACGTAGCATTGTGCAGTCCCAAATAACCTGGTCCACCTGCTGACCTCTACCCTTCCGAATGACTCTGGAAAGATTAATCGTGTCGTCTTTGAGGCTTGGAAATTGGAGCGGTGCTGTGTTTTGAGTTGTTCAAGCCCTTTGGCGCTTGGCTCTCGGGTTTCGCGGCCTTCATTGAACCATGCCCAAGCCATGATCGATGGGTGGTTCATGCTGGCAGCCAGCATCTCGTCCACCTGCTGTAGCCTCGGCCAACGGCACAGGCTGTGCTGTGATGTAGGAAAACGAAGCTGGGGGATCGTGGCATTTGGGGTCTAGGGCGACGTGCACATTAGTAATGCGAAGGGTCTGTAGCTCAGTCGCAGGTGGCACATGATTAGTGGTTGCTGTCGCTTGGGCCAAAAAGGAATCAAAGACTAGAGCACAAAGCCGCAGCTGCTGGCACATGCTGCAGCTCTAGTGAAGGGATCGACAGAGGCGATTAGACGAGACTGGTCTCAGAAAAGGATTTGGTACGTATTATACGATCATTATATAAGGACAATCTAATCGGATCTTGGGGTATTAATACTAAACCCTAAACCCTAAACCCTAAACCCTAAACCCCAAACCCTAAACCCTAATCAGTCCCACCCCTGCATTGCATGTCGTCTGGAGAAAGGGCCGGTCTGAACAGTATCTGAGCCTCGACTGCTGCCCAACTTCTAAGACACAAATCCCTGACACACATCGGGTTTCGACTCACACACTCGCACAAGGCAGGCATGGCAAGAAGGTCCCGGGTTTAGGGTTTAGGGTTTTGGTTTCGGGTTTAGGGTTTAAATCTTGAAGGGCTGCAGACTGACGAAGGCTCGGACATGCAAACCGGGGTAAGGCAGCCGCTGGTACTTCATGAAATGGCCCCAGTCCTGAGCTGTTGCACAGAACGGTAGGCAGCTGGGCAGATCAGGGACCACCCCGACATGTCTGGGCCGCCTTCAGGGAGGTAGGGTTTAGGGTTTAGGGTTTAGGGTTTAGGGTTTACCCTAAACCCTAAACCCTAGGAGGTAGGGCTGAGGGCTCAGTGTGTTTGTAGGGCCACGCTACATGGTCCAATTACGTGCACAGCTTCAGCTTCACCTCTCCCAATGACAAACGTCCAGTAGGGTCCTTGCCCGGGTGCGCCACCTCCACTCCATCCAAAAACCCCAAAAGTGCCAGACTTGCGCACATACGGTCTAGGGCTTAAGGGGTTTAGGGGTTTAGGGCTTTAGGGTTTAGGGCTTTAGGAATTTAGGGGTTCAGGGGTTTAGGGTTTAGGGTGCCCAAGAGATCCTCAGAACGTGAAAGATCCAGAGACTCCAATATCCATTTAAGGAATAGACCTTAAATCAGATTAAGGATCCTACTACAATTTAAGGAATATTCCTTACTTAAGGAATAGTGGAGTCTCTGGGGAGCATCGGAAAAGGAAACACAACTACGGATACCGCAGGCCAGCACTGCTTGAGTGCAGCAGCCTACCTGGAGCAAAGGAACCTTGAAGTCTCCACCCTAGCCTTCCTGGAGGCCCGGGGGACTTAGTAAGTCGATTATAAATAGGGTTATAATTGGGGTAACTCTATTTAGGGTACTTATAAGTCTACTTACAACCTTTTTTCACAAGGGACTCTGCTGC